AAGGGATGTGAAGGGTAAACAAAAGGAGGAGGCTGCAATGCTTGGTAAGAAATGTACGCATTATCCTGCCCATGTAATTGTAACTCCTCTGTACAGTATGTTCACAAATAAAATAAAATTAAAAAAAAAGAATGCTAAATATTATAGAGCCTATCTGTCTCTAAAAAGTGTCAATTTCTTTAGGAGCTACAGTTTAGACTCAGAAGGGGCTTAACTCTTAATACCCCATTGACAATGTTCTATGATCAGTGAAAGTTCAAGTAGGGGTGGGTCACAGTTTATGAACAGAAAGAAAAGTCCAACTATAATTCACTTTAATTTATCTTAACTGAACCAGAAGAAACTCATTTCACAGGAATATATTCCGAAGTATTTGAAACAGAACAACTGTTGGTTGCATTATTTAAAAGGCTGAAGTTTGTAACAGATGGAAATAATAAATAAGCACCCTAGAAGTACAAAAATGCAGTTTACATATAAATGACAATCTACTGAATCTGTATTTGGAGTGTTGAAGCAACATTAAAAAGAAAATGGTCAGTTTCTACTTTGTGTATGCATTAAATTGCATAATTCAGGAGGCTTTGACCTGGAAAGGCAAAATCAGACATTTCTACTTTATGTGGAGTTGAAGTGATAAATTTATGAAACAGCTGTATATAATTTGTTGAAGTGTTTCAAATAATGCATTTCCAACTGGACATAGTGACCAAACAGAAATGAGAAAACAAAAATCTACACAGAAAGTTTCTGAAAGCTAATAAAAATACCTGATGCCTATATTTTCTAGTATTTTATATTATGAAAGTAACAAAAACCCAGACATTTCAAATAAAATTTTACAGACTTTATAGTATTTACAAACTCTGTACTAAAAACTGAAAAATACTCTTAAAAGATAAAATTTAGTTGATGCCCAAATACTTCTAAATTAAGAGAATAAAAACATAATCACCAAGAGTTAAGAATTAGAAAAGGCTAGCAAAAAGTTAAAGGTTAAAGGTAGGTTAAAGATAGAATTTGGCAAGGATCTGATAGCTGGGGGAGGTTTATAAACACATTTTGGGACATTTGATCACCGTTTGTGGAATTGAAGATACTAAATTTTATTGATTACAAAGTTATACTTATGAAATTTATCCACATTGGAATGTAAAGAAAGCATTTATCCTGTAGCTTAATTCTCTGGAGAGACATTATAAAACTATTGTAAATCACAATTTATCAGTCTATTACAAAATAAAATGAGAGTTATTGAATTAAGGCCATTTAAATGACATTTTCACTGGTAAATTCTCTCTGTGAAGGTAGTTGGAATAAAATGGTGATTTGTTTGAAGGAAAAAAAATGTGAAAGAAACTTAAATGAATTAAGTGTTTAAATAAAGCTCTCTATAAAATTTAACGTAGAAAATCAAATAGTAAATTTAATTGACAACCTTTAAGCAAATAAGACTAGAGCAGAGCAAACTCAGGCAATTTCTGAGTCAATCCCTCAGAGGACCCAAGATTGATTCCTAACACTGGTAAATATTAGCAGCCCAAAGTAAACCAAACCAAAATAAAAACTTTTACATTTCATATAAAATTAGAAAAATAATGTAACAAGATAAATAAATACATTAAAAGTATTTTGACCTTTTAGCTTACATGGCTGGAGTTATATTTGTAAATACATATTGTCAAAGGCCTAATTTATGTTAACTAGATATTCTAAAGAAAAAAGTAGGAGCAAACACAAGTTCTGTCTAACGTGGTAGTGTTATTAATTTAGAAATTGTTCATCATTAAGGCATTCCTTTCCAAAAGCTATAGATTCCATGGGTCCACTATTTTTTAAGACACTTGAAGGGGTCATGTGATAGACTCTCACAGAAGTCAAAAATAAATGGGTACAGCCCTCTTCTGGTTACCCATTAGAAAGTGCTCTGCAAAAAAGCAAATACTGCTTTGACTAGACAGACAAACCAGGTTCCACCTAGCACTTTTCAATTCAATTAGTGTCATTTGCCAACCTACATATGGGTACTGGCTAACTATTTACAGATCTCTTAGCCACATGACAGGGGGGGACAAATGTCATTTTTACTCAGCTATTCCATACAACAAACAAATTACAATATACTCCCTGATTTCCTATTTTGTTTTGTTTTTTTCAAAGCATGCCAAGATACTCAGAAAAAGTTTCTAAAACATCCCATAAATGGATCATCAAGTATCTGTATATAAAGTGATCAAGGATTTTTAAAATGCCATGGATTTGATTTTGTAAATTACTAGATTTGGTCAGTTGGTATAATGGCCTTGGAGCAGCAGATGCTGGCCGATTTGATCATTTATCTATTACAATGTATGCTAGGTGTATAGCTTTGCTCAGAAGGACAGCTTGAACCAAGACTATTACGCAACACAGGTCCTTCCCTGGAAGGAAGTTCTGGAAAACAGAGCTTGGGTCTTTGATGGTATTTCAGTCTGTATGTATCAGTCATGCAGCTATCGACGGAAAAATAGGTGGTTAATGATACTGTCTCATTTGGGCATGCAGCTCTAGAGTCTAGTTCTGGTTGGCAAAAGGCATCAACGGCTGCACCCGAGTTTGCCTGAAAGTCACTAGCTGAAGAGGCAGAGGGGTGGTTGGTTGTGTTGCTGCCACCCTGTTTGGATTGGATTGTTTCTTGACATCTTTCATTGTTCTTCTGTGAACTCACTTCAAAGCTGGTTTCTGAAGCTGTATTTAAACTGTGCATTGAAAGATGAGAGGAATTTGCTTTCAACCCCTCTGTATGCTTCACATCAGGTAGAGACTCGTTTTTGTCTGACTGTGGCACAATAGGTATAGTGTATTTTTTTGGTGGCAAAGGGGGTGGTTGATTCTGGCAAAATTTTGGCATCTGACCAGCCTCAGACCTGCAGGTTGAATGAGTTGTGTGTTCCTTGGAGACAGGGTTCTCAGCAGAACATGGTTCTATTGTGTTTTGTTGTAGGACGAGGGGAGCAGTATCTGGCTTTAGCCCTACAGTTCTCAAGTGTGCAGAACACAATGAAGATGGAGACACTCTTTCACTGCTGTTCACTCTCTTTCCAGGCACAGAACCATCACCAACCTGGAATGGCAAACTCGTTCTCTCAGAGTTTTCTGTAGGAAGCCATTCAGAAAATCTGCTTCCATTTAGTTTTTCCAATTTCTGTTCCTCTGGCTGGTGGACATGTTCTCTCACAGCAGGGTCCTTGAGAATGTGTGGACTGTATGAAGGAGGTAACTTCTCACTGGTTTCACTGGTGGGTGGCCTGGTATGTAAAAATAAAATAAAGCTAAATACCAGATGCAAAGAGGCAAAACTGGGGAAAGCAAACACTTGACTTGTACTCTGATTTTCCCAATATGTGGTTTATATTATTTCTTCATCATAAACAGAAATGGGAAGTATTTTGTAGTGATTAACATGTTCAGCTTTCTCTCAACCAAACATGGCTTCCAGGATACACAAATGTATCATACCAGAAACATTATTATTAGAATCATAGTTCATCATTTGTGTGTGTGTGTGTGTGTGTGTGTGTGTGTGTGTGTTGCTGAGCAGTGAGTCCATGGCCTTGTGTCTGCTAAGCATGTGTTCTACCACAACCAGAGCCTTCCATATTTCAAATCCAGTAATTGCAAATGTAATTTAAAAACTTATCTCAGATGAAAAATAAAAACCCTGAAATTATACCTCTTTGTGGTAAAATATGGCATAGAATGTAAGGGAAATGGTACAAGCAAACAAATTAATCTCCTAAAACATCTCCTTACACACATTACAGTGTTAGAAGGCAATGAAATAGAGTTTGGTGGCCACAGAGAATAATAAGTGCTGGATGGAGAAAACATCCAATTAGTGTACGTAGAGATGATGGGAAAACTCCATATAGGGCTTAATACACTGTGCCTTCAGCCATCGATTGGATAGTTGGGACACAGTCCCTCCTGCTCTGGACAGTGGAGAGACCCCTTCACTACTACTTCATTGTTGTATTACAACAGTGAGTTACTGATGTGGCCCTTTGTAGATTCTCTACCCTAGGGGCCAGGTCCTATTAATGGCTGACAGCAACACAGACTTGATGAGACCATTGCTTTCAGGGTAGTAATTTATGCCCTTCTGATCAACAGAGTTCCTATAATACGAGTATTATGAGTATTATGAGTATGTCTATGGTTACCTTTTTGTCAAATGATTTATTTGTAGATGTGATTCTGAGTGGAGCTCATGAGATTTACAGCTAGTCTCCAAGTCTTTCAGTTCTTTTCTAAAGCCTGGGGTGGACACTGGGAAAGGAGAGGAAGAAAACAAAATCATTTCAATTATCTTGTAGCGCTTATTCCCTCCTTTCTTTCCTTCCTTCCCTCCCTCCCTTCCTCCTTTCCTTCCTTCCTTTCTCTCTCTCTTTTTTTTTGTCGGTCATGGAACTTGAACTCTGGGCCTGGGCACTGTCACTCAACTCTTCAGCTCAAGGCGAGTGCTCTACCACTTGAGCCACAGCACCACTTCTGGTTTTCTGAGTGGTTTATTAGAGTTATGAGTCTCATGGACTTTCGTGCTCTGGCTGGCTTTGAACCGCAATCCTCAGGTCTCAGTCTCCTGACTACAGGATTACAGGCGTGAGCCACCAACATCTGGCTCCATTTCTATTTATAGCTACACAGTTTCCTGCAAAAAGGTGATTCTCTTCCAACTGAAAAATAAAATTTTAATTTTTCAATATGTAATTGACAGTAACAGCCTTTAAAAACCCTTTTTGAACCAAGGCCTTTAGACAAGATGAATGGTTCTCCATTTTCTCATTTTTGTGAGGCTGTCAGCCTTGCCAGGATGTGAGCATATTCTTGCAGAACTATACAAAACATGCAGCGAGGTAAACATAGATGGGAAGGTAGAAGGGCAATATAGAATATATACACTATTAATTAAATTATAGTTACTAATCACTCAACTTGTAAAAGGTTGTATTATTGCATTTAATATTCACAACAAACTTACACAGAAATTACTATCACCTGTATGTTTTAGGTGAGCCAACAGAGGTTTAAGAAGGTCAAGTAACTTCTCACAATGAGAGCTAGCAGAATGTGGTCTGCATGATTCACAAGTCCTTCCTCTTTGGGGAGATAGAACCTAGTGCCTCAAGTCTTGTGTCCTTTATTATTTAGCTTATCCTTAACAATAAGCACCAGTGAATTTATTTTTACTAAAAGACTTTTGAGAAAATTATGCTAATTTATAGTCTGTCCCTTGTTACTTCCAGGTCTAGTAGATTGTAAAACCATAGATTCTCCTTTCCACTCTTGCCCACTTCCCTCCTTCTAGGATTAGAGCCTGAGGCCAGTCTGGTTCCACATAAAGGACAGTCTGCTTCTATTTTCTCTGCAGACTATTTCTTAGACAGTTCATTGGAAGATCCTCAACAATATAAATGTTTGGAGTAAAACTTCTGCAATATGGACATTTCCCTAAAAATGTTACTTTAAAGTAACTCTAATAGAGGGGGTAACAATGTTTGAAAAGAAATGTACTCATTACCTTACTTACGTAACTGTAACCCCTATGACATTATCCTTACAATAAAGTTAAAATTAAAAAATACAGCTCTAATAAAAATGACTATCCCCCTCCAACTTTTAAAACCTCTTAAGGAGATTAATTTTCTGATTATAACTGAAATAGGCCCAACCTAAAAAGAAAAACCATAAAAGTTAAAAATTAATTCACAGGATAAAAACTAAGAAAGGGGAATCAAGACGTATGCATTTTTCTCTTTCTCTCCTTCCTTCTCTCCTTCCTTCCTTCCTTTTTTGGTTGGTCATAGGGTTTGTTCTCTGGGCCTGAGCACTGTCCCTCAGCATTTTTAGCTCAAGGCTAGCGCTCTACCACTTGAACCACAGTGCCACGTCTGGTTTTCTGGTGGTTTATTGGACATAAGAGTTTCACAGCCTTTCCTGCCCAGGCTGGCTTTGAACTGCCATCCTCAGATCTCAGCCTCCTGAGTAGCTAGGATTTCAAACATGAGCCACCGGCACCTGGCAAGACATATGTATTTTTACAGCAACATATCTAACATCATCCCAGTTTTTCATAGTTCCTCAAGGGAAAGCAAATGCTTTCTATATCTGAGAATCAGAAATCTACAGGAAACTTTCTCCTTTGCTAAGCAAAAGGGACCTGAGCCTCCACTACACTGATCTCTCTCAAGCACTAAGGTACTGACAGAATACAGAAGCAACTTTGGAGTTGGCAAATCACCCTCTGAACAGCGCACTACCCATCCATTTTTTTTCAGTCATGTCTCTACAACAACAAAACTACAATTTTCAGAATGTCCATGTGCTATTGTTCTACTTAAGTAGTTTTATGTTAAGGAAGTTCTGGAGGTCTCTTGAGACCTTTCCAGAGGATCTATGAAGTCAAACTATTTCATAACAGTACTAGGACATAATTGATCGTTTTCAGTATGTTGACATTTACATTAATGACATATAAAACTGTTGGCATAAATCAAAGCTGTGACCCCAAATGTGTGTGTTATATGTGTGTGTATTGTGTGTGTGTGTGTGTTATATGTGTGTGTGTACCAGTCCTGGGGCTTGAACTCAGGACCTTGGCACTGTCTCTGAGCTGTTTTCACTCAAGTCTAGTGCTTTACTACTTGAGCCACAGTTCCAGCTCCACTTTGGGATTTTTGTTGTTGTTGTTTGGTTGGTTGTTTTTTTTGGTGCTTAATTGGAGATAAGAGTCTCATGGGCTTTCCTGCCCTGGCTGGCTTTGAACTGCGGTCCTCAAATCTCCTGAGGACCTCCTGAGAAGCTAAGATTATAGGCATGAGCCACCAGCACCAGGCTAGGACTTGTATTCTTGATTGACATAAAATCAAAGTTAAAAAAATACTCAGAGCAGGTGAAGCCGAGTGACCATGGGGGCCTGAATGTGGTCACTGATCAGGTTCCCCATCAAAGGCAGTGAGGCTGGGGATGCCATCTACCTAGTCTACGACCATGACCTTCTGGGACCCAGTGACTAAAGCAAGGCCATACTGAGGAGGGCTGAGGAGGTAGGCGGTGCCTCCAGCCATGTACCAGTTCAGCTAGTATGTGTGCCAGCAGACCGGCCTGCAGTTACCGCAGCTCCCAGAACCTCCAAGGATTAACTTTCCCATTGGAGAGTCCTGGAATTCAGGCATTGTCAAGGTGAGGTCTGCCCTGTCGAGGGCTGCGAGTATGTGGAAGCATGCACCACGTAGCCGGTCAGCAGACACTGCCCACCTCAGCTGAACAAGAACACAAACACCTCAGGCTCAAGACCCCACAACCGGGACCTCACTCACAACAGCTTCCAACTTCGCTGGCCCAATAAAGGACTTTGGAAGTAGGAAAAAAAGACTCAGTTTAAGTATTTGATGAGGCAGTAAAAATGATTTACATATCTTTTTATTATTTGGTATGAGGAAATGAGAAATATGCCTCTGCTGACTGACATTGATCAAGGTGTACTATATTCATAAACTGATTTGTTGAGTGGTAAATCCTTTGTCTAACTACTTTCATCCTAGCTACTTAGGAGGCTGAGATCTGAGAAACATGATTTGAAGCCCTCCAGAGCAGGGAAGTCTGTGAGACTCTCCAATCAACCAACACAAAAACCGTAAGTGGAACTATGGCTCAGGTGGTACAGTGTTAGCCTTAAGCAACAGAAGCTGAGGGACACTTCCCAGGCCCGAAGTTCAAAGTGCTAGACCAGCACCAAATAAACAAACAACTAAATGAAAAATGTAACAATAAAAAATAAATCATTCTTTATTACTCAGGCATGCTCCTGACGGGCAGCAGGCGGCAGCAGAGGTTGGATGGATCTGCCGTTAGCAGGCACTTAGCCAAAGGCTTTGACTTCAGAATTCCAACTTGCTTAAAAATAGATGTGTTATTTTCTCTGCTGCTGACACAGACATTCATGTTCTTTACACGGCCTTTTGGTTCCAAGTTCTTTGCAAATCTAACACAGTCCAATTTGAACAATTCTCACACAAGAAAACTCACTGTGCAAAGCAAGGAACTTGAATGCTAATTCTGATACTGTATTTTTTAAAAATCCATAGGATAGTATTTGAGAAACTGAAATATTTCATTTGAAAAGGTGACCTAAGTTTAAAACTCTCAGAGCACAATAAAACCCACTTGTGGGCCTAGACAATGCAATCTTCACTCAATTTCAAAATTATAGTGACAACCATTACAATTTTTATTCGTATAATGATCAACCCTAATTATTCAATAGCAGTAATCACAGACCTTGTTTATAAATACAATACATACAAGTAAAATTTACCTCAGAGAAGTCGTGAAACTTGGCTAAAAATAAGTATTTCTAGATACATTGACCATATTCCACAAAGAACGGAGAGAGAATTGAACATATGATAATCTAAAATGTCTGATACCTCAATTTGGGGATGTTACAAAATAAAAATGCCACAAGTCATAACTTCTTGCCCTTGGTTGGTTTGGGAAGAAATGTGGTCTAAAAACTAGCTATAGCAGAAGGGCAGGGGGCACGGCTGAGGGAGTAGGGTGCCTACTTAACAAGGCCATGTTCAAATACCAGTAGCACCCCCTAAGTGTCCATTTTTCTTTTCTTTTTTTGTGTGTGTGGGGGGTCCGGTCATGGGGCCTGAACTCTGGGCCTGGGCGCTGTCCCTCAGCTCTTCAGCTCAAGGCTAGCGCTCTACCACTTGAGCCATAGCACCACTTCCGGCTTTTTTTCTTTTTGCTTATGTGGTGCTGAGGAATCGAACCCAGTTCCTAAAACATGCAAGGCAAGCGCTCTACTACTGAGCCACCTTCCCAGCCCCAAGTGTCCATTTTTCAAAAGGTTCAGTAAAGTTTAAAAGTTAAAGAAAAAAAAATACCAAGAATACTTAAAGGTCTTTTGTCCAGAATAACCTAGTTTAACATTCTCCTCTTCTTTTCCTAAACTTTTTAAGAGTTAAGTTTCATGCAATTTGGCCTTTTACTTCTAAATACTTCAACTCTACCTCAATTTTGTTTCTATTTCTAATATTCTTGGAATGCTGACTTACTTTTTTTATGACTTACTGTGAAATCAAACTGATTGATGCTTTATAAAAATTGGGTAAGAATTTAAAATGATTATTTACTTGTGAGTTATAAAGGAGATTGCAGAGGGGTTACAATTACATGAGTCAAGTAATGAGTAACATTTCCTTTGTAGAGTGTCCTCTTGTACAGTAATGGCTTTTACTATGTTGTTTCCACACATA